CTTCCTCTTTGACAATGAAAAGAAAAAAAAAAAAAAGTATTAAGTTTCACAAGCTGTTCGAACTCAAATGCATTTTCCCAGGTCAGGTCCTCAGCTATTTTATTAAGTGGAAAATTTGGAACTGAAACGATTCAAGAAGAATGCTGTGTTTCCTTATCTCTCAGGAAACACATTTTATGGCATCTTGTCAGATTCTCTCTGACAAATCCACCGTTTTAGATATCAATAAAGTCTTTTATGTGATATTTAAAAAATGATAATAATAAAGAAAAATTTAAAATATCGCTCTGGCTGCCACACAGAATGGGGACAGAGAGGACTTTAATGGCACAGGAAGGAGATGCTGGTAGCCTAGACTGGGGGGTGGGCTGTGAGAAACGGGGGGGACATACCTGACACATTTTAAAGGGGAACCAGCAGGACTTACTAACAGACTGAATTCAAGGGATGAGGGCATGGGAAGGAGGCTAAGTCTTCGCCACCCACTAAGAGTGGAACATGGGGCCGCTCCCCCAAATGTGGAAGACTGGGGTGGGAAACCGTGGGCAGACCCCCAAACCTTTAGGCACCAAATCAGGTGTGAGGTTCGCTTGTTTCGAATGGGTTTATTCTTCCAGGACATAAGCGAAGATAATTAAGTCCAATCAGAAAAAGCATCGAATGTTGTCTGAAATCGTGCACGTTCTCGCTGTCCCTTAACAATGTCCTGGGACCTTCGATGCAATGTGACTGAGTAACAAACTCTAAAAATAGCGTATTTGGTGAGAGGCTCCTGCTCCTCGACCTCCCCCACCCCCACCCCTGCGTGGGGATGTGTTGATGGGAGAAAAACTTCCTGGCCTCAAACAGTGAAGGGGCAGCAGAGGTCCCCAGACTCAGCTTCTCCTTCCAACCCCCAAGAAGTCACCGCCAGTGTCCCATCGCTATGACCCCTCTGTCCCCCAGCCTTCCCGGGTTCCCCCTGCCCCCGACGGCGCTCACGTCCCGCGCCCCGCGCCAGGGAAGGTCGCCCACAAGTCCCGCCAAAGCGATGCGGGTTCTCATTGGCCATGGGCGCGCGACCCTGGGGCAGGAAGCGGCTTTATTAGGCTGCGAGCGGCGCGATGGCGCGCTCGG